TTACTTTAACTCTCTGTGTTCTCTGCACAAGGAAATCTAAAATCCATCCTACGAGACTAAAATCCAACCCAAATTCATTAATGAGCTTCTCGACTAAAATATGTGGCTGAATATTATTGAAAGCGGATGAAAAATCAATAAAAAGTAAAATAACAAATGTTTTCGGCTTATCCAGATACTGAAGTACTAAGTGTAAGAGAGTCGCTAATGCATCTTCTACACCTCGCTTAGACCTATATGCAAATTGTAGGGGGTCTACATAATTATTTATGTAGACCCCCCTATGTCCTTTGCATAATTATTTTCTTAACTAATTTTTCAAAACATTTCATAACTAAGGATGTAAGCGCCACAGGTCTAAAATCATCCAATACCTGTACATTATGCTTTTTTGGCACTGGAATCACTGTAGACTGCTTCCACAGGGCTTTTCATACTTCCATACTTTTTGTTGTTGAAGGGACAGAGCAAAAATGTCATAAAATATTGGACCTAACTGCTTGGCACATTCCTTAAGTAACCGACCCCCTATATTATCAGGTCCAGGTGCCTTCCTGATTTTACACCGTTTAAAAACTGGTATCACATCCCTCACATTAAAAAAGAAACAATCATGCTCCCCATTTATTCTTCATTCATGTTTCAACCCATCGATTTCCTGTTTAAAATCATAAGCATCAAATCTTAGATAAAATTAAATCAGGTCTAGGTGCCTTCCTGATTTTACACTGTTTAAAACCTGTTATCACATCCCTCACATTAAAAAAGACACAGTCATACTCCCCATTTATTCTACATTCATTTTTCAACCCATCGATTTCCTGTTTAAAATCATAAGCATCAAATCTTAGATAAAAATGATTAAAATCCTGTGACAAAACTGCATCTGAACTGAATCCATTTAAACTAATTATATTATTACATCTTTTATTGGAGTATGTTTTACAAGAAAATCATTTTCCTACTTAAACAAATGTAAAGTTTGTGGCTTGGTATTTCTTTGTAATTATTTACAAACAATTTCTAAGAGAACGTTGTTTCAAAATAAAGTTTTTTTTTTTTCAGTGTACTATTCCATAGGGATTTTCTAACTTTTTATCCCTAAATATGTTGATCTCCTTGTCGCAAGAAAGGACATGAATCTTTTTTCTCATTTAGTTATTAATTCTTATTGTTAAAAAATCTGATGACAACAGATTCAGATAATGTGCATTTTTTTGCATTTTAGATAATTGCAGATAATTGCATTTTCAGCATCATTACTCCAGTCTGTAGTATCACATGATCATTCAGAAAAAATATCTTTACTGTCACATATACTCAATTTAATGCATAGATGGATGGATGGATGGATAGATAGATAGATAGATAGACTGGGACACAGATGCATAATATTTTGGATGCCGTAATGCAACAAACAGCCACTCTTTAAAGGTATTTTGCTTTGTCTCAGGTTAGTCCTTTGATTGAGAGGTTGCATCTTCGTCGTAAATCTCCAGCATCTTTAATTACCTCTGGGTCATCAGAAAAGCACACAACAGCACCTCGTTCATCAGCCAGCCTCACACACAAGGCCAGAATGAGAGAAAATCACATTTGTTTTTCCTCAGGAGGGAATGCAGCTTACAGCACTCCATTTTATTAACCTGAAGGGCTGAATTTCACAGAGGAAAATGCACCACTATGTCTCACATGTCTGTCGACTCACGTTCGAAATAAAGCGTGACTCACACTGCTCTTATCCCTGCCAACATAACTGGCATTATCATATATATATAGGATCATTCAACAGATGCATGTTTATTCACAAACACATAGGCTTATAGAAAACCAGCTGCTGAGACATTATTTAGATGATCCACATGTACAGCATCTCGTCTTCATGTTCCATTACTCCATTACCATAATCCTTTCTCTTTTTTTTCTGTGAAACAACTCCACTTTGAATATGGTGTGTAAACATAGAGTCTGTCCAGCTTCAAACGCCTGCAGTGTGGATATTTTTTTTTATGGTAATGAATATAATGTAGCTCAGTGTTGCCTGATATTGCAACACCTTTTCCAAATGTCTCATACAGAAAGTGTGTGATGATACAAAAGACACGAGCTTGTGTCCTGTTAGCTCCAATGTTTAAAATTTGCCCCAATAAAAATGATTGGAAACAAAGCCTTACTAATGGCTGTTTTCAATAAATCTCATAGTGTAACCTTTTTTGTGTTTTTATATGAGATGATTATTAATGAGCTCTGAATTTCTGCCACATCCCTTCTTTTCTTTTATGCGTACTTCATTAGCTTGCAGTGTACCTCTGTGTTTATCCAGAGTTTATCAGTTCTTCATAATACACCGTCACAGCATATGTGATTTATTAAGCTCTCGAAAGCTTCTGAAGAAGTTTTCAAATAAACTTTATCTTGCTTCTTGCGCTAAATATTAACTTGTGTTGTTGTTCTTGCCTAATGGAACTAAATTAGGCTGATGTGTCTTGATTATTTGATCACAGCAGCAAAGTCATCCTTATTAATCTTGTCTAACCAAAACAGGACAGTTCAAGGTGCATGGCGAGCTGAATGGGAAAAATCTTATTAACTACAGGTATGGAAGTCCAGCATTTTAGTTAAAAGAGCTGATCACCTTTATGGCATCACCTATTATTTATTTATTTGGTTTTTGATTTAAATTATTATTCAAAGTGGTAAATAAAAGAAAATACAATTTCAGTCTTTCTATTTATTTCACATTTAATTTCAATCGAAGATGTAGATGAGTTTGTTTCTTCATCAGAACAGATTTGGAGAAATTTAGCATTATATCACTTGCTCACCAATGGACCCTCTGCAGTGAATGGGTGCCGTCAGAATGAGAGTCCAAAAAGCTGATAAAAACATCACAATATTCCACAAGTAATCCACACCACTCCAGTCCATCAATTAACATCTTGTGAAGTGAAAAGCTGTGTGCTTGTAAGAAACAAATCCATCATTAAGGAGCTTCCAGCCAAAATACCAGTCCATTATCAATAATAGCGCTTCCTCTTGAGGAAAAAGTCCATTCCCTGCTGTCCTCTCATATCAAAATCCACAGACATATTTGTTTAGAACTGTTTTTGCTTGTAAATGGTGCTTGATCTGTGCATGTTTCTCTCCTGATTCAGACGACAAATTTTCATCGGAGAAAGCAATATTATGGATAGAGGATTTGTATTTTAGCTGTAAACAACGGTTTGAAGTTAAACACGTCATTTTGAGAAATTTGTTTCTTACAAACATGCAACTTTTCACTTCACAAAACATGAATTGATGGACTGACGGAGTGTGCATCACTTGTGAATTATTTATCCGCTGTTTTGAAGAAACTCATCTACGTCTTGGATGGCCTGACGGTGAGAAGATATTTAGCAAGTTTTTATTTTTGGGTGAAATATTCCTTTAAAGGGACCCTGTCTAAATATACTCTATGATGTCTCATATCACTCAGTGCCATTTTTGACTCAGAAATGCATAATACTCATAATGACTAATATGTGAAATGGTAAAGCGTGACACTAATGTCAACACCACATGGTTTGATTCCTAGGGAGCACATACTGACTTCTAATTGTATGCTTTGGATAAAAGCGTCTGCCAGTTTTGTACTTGACTTAGTGAAACATATATAATATGATTCAGGTTTGGCTCATTCAGCTCTCCTGTTCTTTTCCCACGAAGCAGGTCTGTCAAGTGACAATGAGGTTTTGCTTGAGACAATAATGAAAACCCACAACGATTAGGGGTTTATTACTTTTAATCAATTCAGCTAGCTACAAAATGTCAACCACTTCACAGACTGACAGGATACAGAGGGAGTTTTAATATTACATGCGTTGAGGACATCAATCTCACAGTTTAACCTATGTATCATTCAGGTAAGGTATTTATTTGACTTCTTATAATAATTATTCAACATCTTAGTGATTTGGTGTGCATAGCTTTAAGTACAGAAGCAACAAAAAAAACTTTTTTTGTTATTGATTATTATAATTTTTTACCAATAACAAACCACACAGGGGAAAGTAAACTAACAGGATACATCTTCTTATAAAAGTAAGGTCTCTCAGAAATATGCGTCTTTTGCTTTACATTGCAAATGATTTATTTATTTTTTTCAGAGCATCCAAAACCTATGATACAGTAAACAACCAGTCCCCACCTTTCAGAACATAATTTTCTACACCAAACTGCATATTCATTTTAGAAAACAAGTCATTTTTGCAGGACCACCACACCAGCCTTGTTTCGTTGCCATCACATTTCCTTTTTAAGTCACTTTTGCATTATTTTACAACAAAGGTCACAGTCTGTGAATATATACCGACTGAAATGGTGGCACTATTGCAAACTTGCAGTAATATGGAACGTTCCACTGTGTCCTAATACTGAGCATGCTTTTGTCAATTTTGCTACTGCCATGATTTTATATTTTTTTGTCATCTTTTTAAAACAAATTTTATTTATAAGACGCTAAGATCTACCATTTGTCATGCATAACGCACAATTCACATCACTTGGAATGCAGTGTTTTTACTACTACAGCTACAGAATCTAGTTGCACATTGTCTAAACAGTAACTGATCATGGTTGTGATGAGGGATATGAACCAATGACATTGATTGTAAGTGCTTGTTGTATTAATATCATTTGCAAAATCTTTTTTCCCATTCTTCATTGTCATGACAACGTCATGGTGTGACACAGTTTTACCAAGACGATACTGAGATATACTGAAAGGAAAGACAACTTGTATAGCATTCCTATATAGTTCCTCCAGCAAAAATGTGATATATATATATATATATATACACATACATAGGCTATATGTATACACATACAAGCAGATATATGTATACATACATACATATATGTATACAGGCAATAAAGAGAATAAAAACTTCACAAGTGAGTAAGAGCCATCGAGTCAGCACTATATACAACCTTTGGAAAGAATGATACAGAGTACAAGAAATCATTTTACGAGGACAATCATTGAAAAAGCTGACAGACGACACATAGAACGACATTTACAATGGGGGCCGGGTGATATGTGCATGTGTGCAAACCTAGAAGGTAAATACCATGATAAGCGCATTGCCTTTTGACAAACTGCACGGATGGTAAAAGCAGGCAGACCAGAGGCTTAGCCACTGCCGAGCATCTTTGTGGCCCTCTGGTTGGCTTCATCAATCCTGGTCTTGTTGGAATCAGCCTGAAATAGTTCCAATAGTGCTTTATTAGCAACGATGTATTCATTAAAATCAAGCTATTATACACAGTTGTAATATGTACAGTATGTTATTAATAGTTATTAGTTATGTACTTAGAAATATATATCAGGGTTATTATAGTTAACTACAGTATATATAAAAAACATTTTGTTACTTGAAATAAATGTTAATTGAAATAAAAAACTTAAACTTATTTTATTTCTGCTAGTTAACAAGGCAACATTTATCATTTTAATTTAGTTTAACTTGATGTACTAAAATAACAAAAAAACTGAAATAAAAATTAAAAACCAAAATGAACATGAAAGCAGAAAATACATAAAATCAAATTCAAATATTAACAAAAACTATAATAGTATCTCAACTATACTAAAATAACACTGATAGACATATATAGTTTAATTTTTACAGTCATCATGAAATCAAAATTGACATTTAATTTAATGAACATTCTTAACTTTGGTGCATGTTTGTAATTTATAAGTTTAGTAATTGCCAATTATTTATGTTATGGAAGTTAAATTTTATATATAAAATATTGTTTCAACATGAAATAAAAACTGCCCGTTTCATTCATTAATGAACATTCTTATCATTGATACATGTTGTCTTTTTAATTTTTAATAAAACTAATAATATATATTTTTATATATAAAATGTACAATGTATGTAAAATATATAATATAATAAAATATAATATTTAGTAATATTAATAAATATTAATTTCGTAATTTCCAATTACTTGTGTTATGGAATTCAAATGGGCTGCAAACAGATATTGAACTGACTTTTAAAACTGCCCTTTTTATAGGATTTAGGATGGTGTGTTTTATCATTAGAAAATCCAACAAGTGAATCTGGAGCCAGTCTATACCTTCTCCATGATCCTGTCGATCTGGCGGTTCTGGGTGTCAATCTCGTTGCCCATATCAAGGGCCATGTGGCGCAGGTTACCAATGATGCCTCCCACCTGCTCTAAGTTCTCATCCATCTCATTTTCCCTTGCGTCGTCTGTTACCCTGCACCCACAAGCAAAGCAGAACGTCAATTTAAATCCACAAGTGCCAATAATTTCTCAAATCTGACTGCATACACATCTATACATTTGACCTCTTAAGCCTTTTATTTGAGCATACACAGCTGTTGCGACCAGATTTATTTAACCTTTTAGCTGCACAATCAAACCTCTATCATATCCAGCTAACCCTCTGGACAAAGCGTCCTGGAATCCGAGGCCTCTCACCTGCGGATGAAGCCCCCGCTGATGGCCATCTGTTCGCGCTCATCCACCACACGGGCGGGCTGGCTTGCAACCACTCCATCCTGGTTGTTTCCCCAGGCCTTGCTGGCTCCACTCTTCATTCTGCACAGAGTCGGGGGAAGCGTGAGTACTAGGTTAACCAGACACTTCCATATCAGCAGCAGTGTTCACAGATCAACAACAAACATGGATTACCAGGCAAGCATAACAGGGATGGGCTCATTCTCAAGGGGCTTTTGTAATTTGTAAGGCTATATCTTGTGGACATATAACATACATATACTTGATGCTGAGACACGTACCTTTCTGAAAATGTGGGATGTAAATAAAGGTGGACAGCTATTTCCAAACATAGAAAAATGGGACTCAGAGGTCACCTCTGGCCACCCCATGGCACATGAGCTGTCACCCCTCTCAAATTATGACAAATAACAAAGAGCACAGGCCTTGGCGACAGACAACACAGAGTAACAGGACTGCCACATCAGTGGAGACAAGTGTAAATAACTTCAACAGAAAAAAAAACTGGAGGAAGAGAACCGCATCCTATCTTGCCCTTTCACTGGCCACCTCTCACCTTGTTGTTTCTAACTCTTAAATATGAGTTAAAATGAATATTATAATGTAGGAAAGACAATGACAGATCAGCAATGCTATGAGATTATTAACCCAGAACCACAAATGAATAAAACTATCAATTATTGGTAATTATAGCCTCTTTTACACAGCAATTATGCAAAACATATGCTTTCTTATCAAATATGACAACAACCTATTATAGATTATTACTATTTATTGTTGTAGACATGGCAGTGGAATATTCTGTTCATTCAGTGGCCAGAGGTGAGGTACAGAATAACAATAATCAAATGTAAGATTGAACGCAATATTTTAATTGCCACTGCAAACAATTTTATTTAATAGTCTGTCAATAGTCTGTTACTTCTTTTTCTACACAACTGCAATAGCTGGATTTGGACTATGCATTGCTGCAGTATTTATTTACACTACTGTACATCTCACAATCTGTGATATATTTTATGGAAATAATTGCTATGTCTCTGTTGTCTGTTACAAAATTCTTAAGTCAAATTGGACTCTTATTGCACTTCTACATTGTAGGCTGCTCTGAATGTTATCTCGTTGTTATCAATGTTAACAATGACAATAAAGAACTTGATTCCTATATGACAGCCTTGAATTCATTCTAATTGTGTCAAGAAAATCATAAAGCTAATTTATAAATTCTAAACATTGATGATTTTTGCATAAAAAGGCAGATTTATTCATCAGCTGTTGTTCTGGCAGTGGGTTGCTGATGTAGATTTTAGTTCTAATATTTCTTGATTTATCTTAAGAGAGATGGCCAAGCCTCCCACTGCAGTATTATTTATAGAGACGGACTAAAGCTACAATTCCTCCGGCTGCCTTCTCTCCATAATCTCTCTAAACAGCATGTTGAGCTTTATCTTATGTGAAGGAACAGTTAATACTCAAACTGGCAAACAATGCCTAAAATATTGATAGTTAGAACCTAGAATAAATTACTTTCCCTTTTCTTTCAACTATTAAATAATCTCCTGAAAATTTGATTTTCAGATAATTACTTTTTTAACTTTATATTTAAAAAGTGACTGTAATTTTGTTAAAAATGTGAACTAAGTTTAATGTGAACCACTGTCTGACCCAAAATTCAACCTCCCTAAGCGCACGGGTTCATTTGCGCCTCTGCATCAGTCTGGGATTTTATGACAGGCTATCACATTAAAAAAAACTGAATATCTGCACTGTATCTTTCTGTCTGACCTAGATCTCGTCTGCTCCCCTTGGGGAACCAGCAAACGCATTGGCTCTCTCCACTGTACAGTACTGCGGCTATAGACTGGACTGCGTGTCCTGTTCTTTGCCAAAACTATCCCTGTCAACATGAATGAGACAGGCTTGAAAGTATTAGATCATTTGAATGACTTTCAGTAGGAGTTGTCATCAGCATTGTTACTATGCATTATTATTCTTTAACAAATTATAGCAATTAGCAAGAGATGCATGAGCATGCATTTGGCATTCAGGGACATGCTATTGCAGTCATACAGGTAGCATTGATGGATGTGCTTTCAAAGTTGAAAAAAAAAAAAGCTAGTGTATGAATATAAATTTTCAAGCAGATGCTGTTATATAGGCTATTTTGATCTTGTGTGTGTGAGAGCGTTGCTCTATCATTTTGAGTCGATTTGACCAAGAAACATATTTTATGAATGAAAGAGAAGTGCTTTATAATAATATAATTATGTTTCTATTCAAATTTGTTTGACGATCAAACGGTATAATCATTTAAATGGGGGCTGTCATTAAAAAAATGACCTCTATTACAAACAATAATGACAGAATTAGGAGATTTAGCCTATACATTGAACACATTAAATAACAGCTCAGATAAACTATAAAGCATTTTAACAGTGTATATATTTAACAATAATTTTAGCGACATGATACTCTCGTTATTTTTTTAATGGTTTTCCTGAGGTAATGCAACGTCACGTGACATGCTGTTCACGTGCGTGCTGTTTTATTGACGTCTTTTCGCGGTTAAAACACGGAATACACAACAGATGATACATTTCAGTAAGTTTTACTGTCTTTTAATATGTCCTTTGATGTTCATTTATGTTTTTCGTCCTATAATTAGTCCTATAATAATTAGTTAGGAAAAGAAGCATCGGTTTGCTCTCGCTTTGGCATTCACAGCGATGTCACACCACATTAATGAGCGCCAAAACGCCATTTATTATTTAAATTAGTAACAAAATTGGCATAATTCAAAGACTTTATTTTATCATTAACGCAAAACAGTAAAGTGTTTGCTTATAATCGCGTGTTTCCGCAAATGACTCAAAATGATGAGTGCTGCGCTTATGTGCTATGTTTAATAATCTGGATGGGCTGGATAGGAATAATAATTTATCAAATAAAGATATATAATATTAAGTTAAATAATAAGATAATTTACTTTTATTTAAATTAATTTGTATTGGACTACATTTAGTGACTTACCTCAACTTTGGCACATCCATGCAGTTTTAGTGGTTTGGTTTAGTTTAGCGTTCATAAATACCTTGGTTTTAAAAGAATGGTGACCTTGGGTTGTGCAGCATGCCTTATATTCATACATTTAATTGATAAACTTTCTCAAAGGACCCAGAGCAAAGGCAATCGGGCTGTTATACTTTACTTCTGTGAGCATGTGTGACCATGCCTCATGCTCATGGTCTGTGCTTAGGACATGGGTAGTGAACTTGGCAAGCCACCCTGGGCACGCCTGACTATAGGGCTACAGGCCTCTCAGTATGATTTATTTTTATAGGCAGGGAGGTAGGCAGGCAAACAGCACCTACTTGGTACATGGACAGGAACAAAGACTACCTACTTGTTACACGGACATATGAAAAGGCCACAGCATTTCCCTAAATCTTTTAAATTTTTCTCGGCCTCCTTCATGTCTTGGTTGATATGGTTCATGCCATCTTCAACACGATCAAGTTGTTCTGGTCAGGACAAAGGGATGACAGCAGTGGAATGAATTTACTGGCTCTTGTTTTACAAGAATATATGAGAAATGAGCACTGCTGAACTGGATGCGAATTTGTTCAATGCATCTAGAGGGGATGCATGCATTAGAATGAACCTACATATGCAAAAAAAGAGTTAGGAAAGAGTGAAAATAGCAAGACTTCATCCTTTATTTATTTACAGATGCATAATAGTGAACATAAAATCAAAACGGACTCTATTTACTTAATGCTTTTTTCTGGTCTCATTGTGAACGATTCATCTGTCCATGTATTTAAAAAACAAAACAAGTGTCTTTTTAATCTTTAATTTAAAAAGTAATCATTTTCCTTTTTTTGCTGACATCACTGAGGCTGCACATGCTACACCAATTCCCAATAAATAAAAATAAAAACTAGTCCTGCCCTACATTTTTCCTCATTATTATCCTTTGTCACTCAAAATACATCACATTTTGGAAGTAAAATGGGTTGCAAATGGGTTGACTTTCACATTTAATACTTGGAAAACTACATCAAGTGGATGAAGTCACAGTGGACACAGGCAGTTCTAGCTTGAATTTGATCCCGGCCGCCAATAGCAGACATATTTTCCCATAAGGGCCACTGCAGGAGAGCGACAGTGTCTTTTTAATTAGACCTTGGGGCAGAATAAAACAGTGCCCTAATCTCTCTCAATGCTTTGCGGCTGTAGTTTGCTGACTCATTTGCTGGAAACCGACAGCCTCCTTTTCTCCTCAGTACAATGGAAGAGGGTGCAGCTTATGGTTTGTTTGTCTCTGTTTGGTTAGGGGATGATATGGCTGAAGTGCTGGTGACCCGTGGTGATGCAGTCTGGCGTGTTTGTCGTGCAGACATGGTGTGTTCGATATTGTTAAGAGGTTTAGTGAAGGTATCGGTCACAGGGAAGAGAGAGGCAAACTGGGAATGGTTCAAAAGGAAACAAGCCTACCACATCAGTTACTTTTGTTTAATCCCTGGCATTTAAAGGCACTTTCATTTAGGCAAAGCAAATTAACCTAAAGACGATTAATTTCCTTGTGTCAAAATTCTATAAATTCTCGTTTAAAACAAGAAATTGAACTTTTGACATACCTCATTCCATGATAACAACCTAGCTTAGTGTCACCTCTGGGCTGAGAGTTTAGTTTAAATAAGCTTTAGGCCACAGTTTGAGGGGATGATAGAGTGAGATTGCATTCCCTTTATGAAAAGACTAATTACTGGCCGCAGATGGGGGGGTCCTCACACGCAGGAGCCAATCAGAGGGCTTTTAAGAAGCTATTGCTTAATGCAAGGCCAATTATGTCATTTTTTAAAATAACACTAAGCCAAACAAGGTAGCGTGTGCTTTTAAAGTAGGAGCAAGCTGTTTAGAGCCTTGTCGATTTGAAATGACACTGTTAAAGTAGGTAATATCTGTTTTTAATCATTTTAGAATTGTGCCAGGGATTATACAAAAGAGTATTAGTGCAGTTTATGGGAAAGAGTGTCATTTGTCATTACCAGCTAAATCGATCGTTGCTTTATTTGTTTTCTTGAAAGTTTATTGTTACAAGCTGCTGGCCTAAAAAACGAATGTGATGGCAACTACATTTTAAACTGAACAGTAAATTTGTTTTAATTGCAAACATTAAATGGACAGTTGTAGTGGTCAGTCCTGTTTCTTTGTTAGTACAGTATACTGAAAAAATATTAAATGAAAGAGGAAACGTGTTAGCAAAAAGGTGAAAGATGTAGAGTTACTTCAGAAACGGCAGAGGAAATCAAAATTGCATTGCATAAAATGACTTTAATTGCTTTAGGCATTAATCAGTGGAATGAACTGAAAGAAAATCTGAGATAAAGCTAAAAATCAATTTATGATACATACTATAGTTGCTTATTATGATGACAAATAAAATTTCAAAATACAAATTTATTTTAAAACATTTTAATTTTATATGAAAAGCTAAAGACATATACAATATTATACAATTCTATGTGCAAAGAATGTATGAAAATTGTCATCTAATAAACATCCACACTTACCTCCCTGCTCATCCAGCATAACCAAAGTCCTGATACCAGCATCTTTACTCTATGCATCAAGAGCCATGGAGAAGAAGCGTGGAAAAGAGGGTGAAGTGGAGAGTAAAGAAGGACAAAGAAAAAGAGGTGAGATTCAGCACACAAAACACAAGGCTCATTCCAGAGGCATTCAGAGAGACTTTGTCAGTTGAGGCTGTACTGGTGACATTTCAAATTGCATAATGTTCTTCTGTTTTTCCTTAGACTAAAATAAGCAGACGCTAATTACTGTGGAGCATACAGCTCTGATCAATATCATTTGTAAATGGACTCTCTGTGCTAATGTGAGACAGAATCTATTTAGAGTATTTTTTGAGCTTTTGTAGCTTGAGACAATTCATCCTTAAACAGTTCAAATCCGATCAATATCATTTGTAAATGGACTCTCTGTGCTAATGTGAGACAGAATCTATTTAGAGTATTTTTTTAGCTTTTGTAGCTTGAGACAATTCATCCTTAAACAGTTCAAATCCATCAACGAAATATTATAATAAAAATGGCAGCAATGAATGAATCCACTTTTTTGTTTAGAAGAATAAATGAGTGTTGGAGTACAACCAAATATTTACGCCGCCTTTCCACTGTCTCTGACCTTGCGCTCATAGTTTTGATTAGAATACATCACATCCAGTCGGGTACGATCTAACCGCAGAAGTTCAAATATTTTAACGCATCCGAAGCTCAAATAGGATCTGAATTTTCCGCTTATGCATATGATTGGAACTCCACGCAGCACCCGCACTACTCTCCATTGGAAATGAATGACTTCCGGTCTATCGCTTGTCGTTTGTCGGAGACAGTGGAAAGGTGGCTTTAGGCAATGCAACAAACACAGTGTGATCTCATTGAAGGTGTTACACAGAACAAGCAATGTATTTTCATTCATCTTATACTGAGGACAGATTTTGTACACTATTTGGTGTGTCTGTTAATATGACAACAAATCATCTGTCACTTCATTAAAGCTTATGAAATGAGTTACACTCATACAGAGGACACCTACTCCTCCCAAACCCCAGTCAAAATTATTAGGGCACATTAGCACAAGGACATAAAGGCCAGTACAGATGTCCTCAGAGATTCCAATTCATATTTTGCTATAGATGTCATCCATGACGTGTTTATTATTTAATAGCACCCTGAAAAGGTCCGCGTTATAAATCAGCTCCCACTGTTCTAGTCTTCAATGAGAAACGCAACCAGTGTTCATCACTATTTGGTCACTGGCATCCTAGATCTCATCCCCCATTTACAAAATATGACTTTTCCGTGAACCTAATGATCAGCAAGTTAAATTTGCTGAGCTGTTTTTCCTTGAGTTTGGAAAATAACAGGCAGCTGTGACATATTTCAGAAAGTGCAGCTTCAGCGCTTTGAAGGGAACAGGATATCGATATTTGGGATAATCGTAAGGCTCGGTAGTGCATAAATCAGCAGGACATGGAGCAGCACCCCCCTCATTCTGGATGGGATCACAATGTGCCCTAAATGGATCCTCAGGGATTAATTTGTTTGTGCCATAAACCGCTGAATTTCCACGCAGCAGTAAAAGCCTGGAACAAACTCAATGCTTCTACTGGTATAAATAATGAATGTGATTTACCTCAGTTTTGGCCTAACACAGGAATACTGCTGATCGTCTATAAGTGCCAAGAATATTTGGTCTAACTAAAACATGAAAAGGCTGGTATGGGCTGACATAATTAGATCGACTGTGCCAGCGGTGACAAATTATTCTTGATCTATGTGCACCCTCCCTCTCCAGATTTGTTCTGTCTATCAGTCTGTCAGCTTTAGAGTCTTCAGGCAACTTGTTTATTTGTCAACTCAGAGGCGACTTATCAGTAATGGACATGGGGAGGTGCTCTTTGCAGAGATATTGGCTGCGATTATCGATATGACCTTGAGATATGCTGCGGAGACTTCATCACAGTTCTTCCCCTCAGATATGCACACATCTCTGGTCTTTCTCTCTTTAACACGCTCAACCCATCTAGCCTAGATTAGCCAAGTCCAGCTTGTGCTCAGCTCCGTCTGCAGACTAAAGCTCTCAAGATCAAAATACACTGATATAAGATATTTGTAAAAAAAAAAAAATTTGGATCCTTGACATCCATGTATTGATCTGTTGATTAATCTTTTTTTTTTTTTTCAATTTGACCAAATAATTATGTTTAGTTTCTAGGGCTGTCAATTTATGTTCATTTAATTCATGTTAATTTAGTACATTTCATTTATATATATATATATATATATATATATATGTATAATTTTTTTTTTACTTTTATGCTCACCGAGGCTGCATTTGTTTGATCAAAAAATACAGGCTAAACTGTAATACTGTTAATTATCGTTACGGTTTAAAATAATGGTATTCTATTTTAATAAATTTTAAAATGTAATTTATTCCTGTGATGGCAAAGCTGAATTTTTAGCAGCCATTATTCCAGTCTTCAGTGTCACATAATATTCGGTGCTCAAGAAACAGTTGCTGCTTAATATTTAACTGAAACCATTGAACATTTTTTCAGGATTCTTTGATAAATATTAAGTTCAAAAGAACAGCATTTATTCGAAATAGAAATCTTTCATAAAAATGTAAAAGTCTTTACTGTCATATTTGATCAATTTATTGCATCCTCGCTGAATAAAAGTGTTTATTTCTTTCAAAAATATCTTATGACAGATCATATATTAAACATTTGTGATCAGAAAGAAAGAGCATATGCAAACAGTGAGAAATAATTTTAATATAAATATGATAAAATGTCTCTTTACCTCTTCCACAAGCTGCAGCATACGGCGGGTGCTCTCCAGTGACTGTGGGGGGGAGGAAAAAGATGTTAAAACCAGAATTCATTAGGAACTGACAGAGATAAAAACCTCGACAAGCTGTAGTGTGTGGGAGGATTTTTAACACACAATATAATAGATATATAATCAATGGATGTTCTTTACAGCACTAACGAACCAAAACATTTAACCCTCTACAAAAAATGTACAAAAAAATCTGCAGTGCTCAATGGCTGAACATTCAATTGCACAATAATAAATTTTTTTATTTTATTTTATTTATTTTTTAACGATCTGAGTGAAATAATGTCACTCTGGTCAGTGCTCTGAAGTATCAGAACATCATTCACCTCTCCTTTCAAACCTTATATCTCAGGCCATCCACCATTATGACCACCTCATCTTTCTGTCTCTCACTGATGTGAAATGCCAAAAATAAATGCTCTTCAAAAATGTTGGAGATGAATCATTTCCTTCTAACTAAACATTACGAATACCGAACATATTTCAACAGTATGCCATTTATATAAGTAAATCTACAGCATTTTTCACACAAATATCATGGACTGAGTGTCTGGATATTATGAATTCATATCTCTGTGGATCAGAAGGCCGGAGGACATTTTTGCAGTGTGGTGTCCTATTTGTGTTTTAATATTCTGCTCAGCTGTGAGAATCATAGCGTGGGGTGGCAGTGAGGAGCTCCATCAGGCTGCAAACACACAGGCACCACCCCCAGCTCTTATACACACACACACACACACACACACACACAGAGCAAATGCTGCAGCGTTATGTAAGGCAGAGTACAGGTGAACCCTCCCTACACATCACACACACACACATTCAAATATGGATTCTAACATCTCACAGTCGCAGCCCACAGAACAAGCTGTGTACAAATAAATAAATCTGTAGCATAAATTACAGCAATTTATCCAAGCTTCAATCAACAGAGCATAAAAATGTGAAATAATTAACTTGTGTCAGCGACCTGGATAAGAGCGAAATCAATTTAATGTCTGCTTCAACTAAACAGATGACTTAGCAAATAAAATAATAAAATATTTATTTATTCTTTACATTATTGTTTATGTTGCACTGGTCGACAGTCGTCAATAGTGGTATTGATGCAGCATCATGTAAAAATGTTTTCAGTTGTAGAAATGCATTATTCAGAGTCAGCCATAATTAATTAATCTAAAATTATAATTATAAATAATAATTACAAATAATTAATAAAATATCTAATATTTTATTATACTAATTTTATAATAATGTAATTCATACAATTAATAATAACTCTATAAAATGTCCAATAACAGGAAGTTACAGCGATAAAAGAAGTAGCATTCAGCTGGCCCCCATGACATTCAGTTTTGTTCTGTTTCGATTAAGTTTTCTGTTCCCGTTTGCCTTCCTGAGTTTCCTAGATTTTTCCTATAGTTACTAATAGCCACACACACCTGTTTCAGTTCTATTTGATTACATTCCTTTTGTATTTAAGCCCTCAGTTGCCCTTTGTTCCTTGCCGGTTATTGTTTATGTTAGGTGTTGTGCTAAGTTTACTCCAGCGATCTCCTGTGTTACTTCTGTGTGGATTTATTATTAAAAGACTTTTGGAACTCTACTTATTCGTTGTGTGCTTTATATAGCACCAACACGTTACAAGACCTGCTCCATGTGAAATAAATCAGTTTTTATTTGACTGCTGATGTGACTACTCTTTTTATTAGTCTCCATCTCATGTGAGTGTACATGATCTTAAACTTTTTTTCAAAAATACTATTCATTTCTTTATTGCTGAATGCATCTTTAAACAAAAAATGGAAATTTACATTACTGTAAAATATGTGTGTATATATATATATATATATATTCATCATTATATTGGTCAGAAACACATCAGTGCTGCACAAAGCTCCGTTTTGGTTCCTTAGTTGGCACTGCAGTCTTTTTTTGCAACCAGTTAAAGTTTGAAAGTGTAGCATAAAGAGAGAAAGTGAATGACCTTACCTCATCGGCCAGCTGGTCTGCACGTTGCTGCATGTCAGAGAGCTCATTGCGCATATCCGAATCATCTGCCATGGCTGCTGGGTGTGCTGGGTGGAGCTGGTCTCCAACTGGGAAGAGTGGGTCTTATTGGAAGTCTGGGGGAAGCTGAAAGAATCAGACATAGACAGAGAAAAGGAAAACATTAACGATGGAGCTCACTTGAATAGTGAAATGTGTCATCCAGTTTTAAGAATTAAAGTGGTCATATGACGTTGCTAAAAAACATTATTTTGTGTATTTGGTGTAATGAAATGTGTTTATGCGGTTTAAGGTTCAAAAAACACATTATTTTCCACATACTGTACATTATTGTTTCTCCTCTATGCCCCGCCTTTCTGAAACGCGTCGATTTTTACAAAGCTCATCGGTCTGAAAAAGCGAGGTGTGCTGTGATTGGCCAGCTATCCACTGCGTTGTGATTGGCCGAATACCTCAAGCATAGTCTTTGCAACTTTAGGGATCTTATCTATTCACGAACAGCTTGTAACACTCCAAAGAGAAAGGAAAACTTGAAATCGCATCATATGACCCCTTTAACAAAGACAAAATATCCACACTAAACCAATAATCTTCCTCAGAGAAACAGCCACAGATGTTAAATTCATTAGGAAGATTATAATGACTTATACTGTCTTTTTACGAGTTATGCATCTAACAAAGTCATTTCACACAGGCTAATGTCATGAAATGGACAGTAGGACATTGTCTGCTTTTAAGGAGTCCATCGCCTCTTCTCGTATGCTCTTGCGAATAGTGCTGAGGTGGTGGCTGCTGTGTTTAGCTGATTAAATTCTTCCCTGAGGTTCTGGGTGTACCAGGAGAAATTTGTCCCTCATGGAAACTGTGAGTTTGACAGATATATTCCTGAAAAGACTGGCCTGACAGCTAGCAAGATATCTCAAGGGGTCTAGAAAGAACAGCTTACCGAATAATTGTGAGTGTGTGTTAAACTGCACAAGCATGTGAGCAATTATGCCATCCTTATTCAGAGTTAAAAGTAAAACAAAAGGCTATATATAAAGGCTATATAAAAGGCAGATATATATTTATTTATTTATTTATTATTTATTTATATTTCTTACTGTAGTGGCAAAAAAATAAAAATAAACCTAATTATACTTGGATATACAGTCAAATCAAAATTTATTCAGACACCTTTAACATTATCACAGTTTATTCGCTATAGTTTAGAAAATGGTAATAAAATATGACAAGAACTAAGTTAAACTGTGTCAGACCAAATTCATCTTGATAATGTCAGATAATACTTAAGCAAAACATGGTCAGGTTGTTTACTGGTAGTCCACTGTATGAAGAATGTTTGGGTATAATATGTCACATTTTACTTTATTTTGCTATCCTCACTTACATAAATGAACTATAGTGTCCTGCACCCACTAGTAAAAAAATATATAAAAAATTATATCTGCTGTCTGAATAATTTTTGGTTTGACTGTATATCTTAATTTATCATGTTAGATATTTTTTGGCCAAATATCCAACTCAACCTTCAACACTATCAGTGAAATATCCAATGAATTCCACGCAGGTATTAAAGAGCGATACTGCCTCCATTAATTGCATAATTGTACTCAAGCAATTAAATTTAACATGCTTGCCTGACCTTTTACAGTGAAATACTCCAGAGACTCTAAAGGCTGCAATATTACACTCCCATCTCCACCAGTGAAATGAATGTCATCTTCTGCTTTGGTTAAAGATCATGGAGCACCAATCTAAAATTGATTGACCCATCATCCAGATTGTGTACTCGTGCAGGCTCTCTCAGGGTAATAGAAACATGTTTGTGATGAATTTGCAGTATGTTACCATAGGCTGTGGTGCCCTAGCTGGTGCCAGTGAAACACTAATATAAAAATGTCTCTCGCATACCCTCGCTCAACCTCTGATGAATGATCTTATTCAGATTCTGATGAGTGCATAAAAATGTCAGGTCAGTGAATGTCATAATGAATTATTTGTGGCAGTATTCTTGAAATAACCTAAAAGCTGAGCGCAATTTGAGAGACTAGACCAGAGAAAAAATTATGGGCCAGTACAAAGAGGTGCCTTACTGTCTCTTTTTTCATGCGGAAAAGCAAAACAATGTTGGAAAATTGTCTTTACTAGGTCAGTGAAACCTCAGGACTCCTGCTAATTTACTTTCTTTGGTTACTTCCAAGCTGTTCCTTACTGCTGAAAACAATCTTTTAATTTACTTCCTCCTCCATATCTTTCGTCTTCTCATTTTTTTAACTGAGCAAACATAATGTTACTTGCTGTATTATGAATATGAATAACACCATTAGCAGGCCTTGGCATTGTCTGTTAACTAAACCTGAACAATGTAAAAAGCTAACATCACTGCAGGCCGGAGAAGTGAGCGGATGGAACCCTCAATTATTGACCTGTTAGCAGATGCTCTCTAAACAGAAAGGTCAAAAGGTTAGGGTTTTATTATTATTTGTATTTTCAGCTTATCTATTTTGCACTTCTCTTCTGCTTTCAGGTTAAAATGATTTGTAGCTGTTGCCTATATGCCAGGATTATTAATAATGCATTAGGTAGTGGTAACTATTTCTATCATTTTTTTCAGTGCACTACCAGTCATTAAATATAGAAGAAAAACAATGCAAATATAAAAATGCTCTCATTTCTGCTTAATTGATGATTATTTTCTGCTTGCTGAATGATGGCAGATGAAGCATGAGGCACTCAGAACAATACTATGTAAACATGTATATTCAAACTAAAATCAACAAGACTGAACAGGGATTACAAGAAAATTAATACAGGTAAACTGTAAAAAAAAAAGTTTTGAATAAAGCAGGGGTCTTCAACTTTTAAAGTAAAAGTAAAATATAAATGTATTTACATACTTTATGATGTCTAGCCACTAAAATAATCATTGGGAGAGACAATAAAATATTTAGCAGGACATTTAAGATCAAACAGTAATTGGACTCAATTATTTTCCTCCTGTTAAAGACTTCTGGAATAAAAGTTTTACAATAATGACTAAAAGCAGTAAACATAACAAGAGAAGTTTCTTACTAAATTAGGCTACTGAGCATTACTTGACCATTACGTTATTAATACTGGAAATAGTATATAGCTGTATGTTTGTTTACTGAGACAATGAAAAGCCCTATGGTTCAAACACATGTTCTTTTAGAATAGCTGTGTGTGTGTGTGCGTGTTTGCGCGCGTGTGTGTGTGTGTGCGTGTGTGTGTGTGTGTGTGTGTGTTCACTCATCCTCCGTCTCTGAGCTGGCTGCCATTTTGTTTTCTCTCTTCAAACATGCAGCCTCTCCCTTCACTGCAGGCAACAAAAACTGTCCTCCTCCAAAACTTAAAGCTTAAATACTACAACACTAAGACACTAACCACTCTAAGTTGTTGCTCTCGCTCTTTTTTTTTTCTCATATGCTTCGCTAAACGCTAACTTCACCTTATATCACCTGAAATGGAATGAACTTATCATGCCTGACCTCTAAATCTCTGAGTCAGGCGAAACAGACGTGTTTTACGAGATTACCTTTGAAATCGGGTTATGATATTTCCCCTCTACAGTGTTATGTATGTTGCAACAGATTGACTCTCGTAGAGTGAGATATCTAGCTTGACATGTTTCAAAATCAGAGTCTCTATGGGAATCCTATTTCACCAATGCAAAGCCAGAAAAAAGGAGAAAGAGAAACCTGCTCAAAATCTGGATTTTTGCCATATGTTATTCGTTTTGCTACCTTTTAAACTTGGCAAATTGATGAACATCTGACATTACCATCAAACCATATCCCACAATTAATCGACAGCATAGTTAAGTGTTTTCTCATGTAGATTTAAACCTGTCATAAAATAACATGCATACCACCAGAAAGTTACTGTTACAAAAAAAGCACATTTATTGTACACTGTAAATATATATATTTTAAAGTTTTAAATAAAACAAAGCTTACTAGAGCATGTTTACAAGAAAATACTATTTCAGTCTTTCTACTTCCAAATTTCACATTTAATTCAATGTGTTACTTGCCAATTCTTTGTAATTATTTGTGACATTTACTAGCAATTTGAAAATTGTTTCAACAACATTTTTTTCATTGTAATAAATACGTCAACAGTTGCAGTTATGTTTTAGCTGAACAAATGTAAAATATAAACTGCAGCAGGTGATGCATTATTTAGGGAGGTCCCTAAATTCATTAATGTTATCATTAATGCTTCCATTTGTCTCCAGCCATGCTTTGTCCTTGATTGAAAAGTAACGGATGAAGTCAGAGCCACCTGTAAACTATCGCAATGGCTTATTATTCACAAGGCAATACAACCAGATGAGGACAGGCCTGAGCGATGCCACCCCCTCCTCTCATGACAAGTGATTAATAACATCAGTCCCCTTCCTCCTGAGTGGAGGATTGCGTGGAGTGATCCCAGAGCTCTGTTAACACGTCTCATAATCTCTTACTGTTCACACTCCTTGTACAAATCATGTGTATAATATATAGAAATAGAAAAGTATAATATAACCAGCCTAAGGAGGTAGGCTTCCCCAAGGTTTCCTTCTTATCTACACTGCAAAAAAAAATATTATTTTGTCTAATCCTTAAAATTAAATAAATGTAAGATATTTTAAGATATAAAAAGGTATCAAGATAAGAAAATATCTTGAGTTATCTTTATTTTCCTTACCTCTTCAGCAAATATTTTTTCTTGTTTAAGCATAAATTGGATTAAATGATGTTATACTTATGCTCAAATACAGCACTGATTATTTTAATTCAGCTTTGGAACACTACAGTAAGTATATTGAAAAGTGCTATTTAAAAAAACAAAAACAAAACATAAATAATAAAAAAGGGCTATTTACTGCAATGAATATCCAGTAAAAATAAATATTTACTGATATTTTTTAAAATGTATATTTACTGTTAATTTAAGTCTACATTGGAACAGTAAGCATAGTGGAACAAAAATGAAACCAAAACAAAAAAACTAAAAAATTTAATAAAATGGATATTTACAGCAGGACCAACTAAAGGTCAATTTTTAAAAGATATTTATAATTTAAAAAATGCCACAAAATCATCATTAAAACTAAAAAG